TCCGGCTAAGGCTGAGGGCTCTGCAGCCCGTCCTGCTAAGGCTAGGGGACTCTGGGGCCCGTCCGGCTCAGGCTGGAGCATTCCGGGGCCCGTCCGGCTAGGGCTGGGGGGCTCTTTTGAGCCCGTTATAGGGTCAGCCTCTGAAGGCTATGGCTGGGGGGCTCCAGGGCCCGTCCGGCTAAGGCTGCGGGGGTCCAGGGCCCTTCCGGCTAAGGCTGCGGGGGTCCAGGGTCCTTCCAGCTAAGGCTGGGGGACCCTGCAAGGCCCGTCCGGCTAAGGCTGGGGGACCCTGGGACCCGTCCGGCTAAGGCTGGGGAGCTCTGGGGCTTGTCTGGCTAACGCCGTGGGGCTCCGGGGCCTGTCCGGCTAAGGCTGGGGGACTCTGCATGGGGTCCGTCTGGGCTCTTTGGGCCCGTCTAGGGGCTCCGGGACCGTCCGACTAAGGGCGGGGAGCGCGGGGACCGTCAGGCCGAAGCTGGGGGGCACAGGGGCCGAAGCTACCGGGCCTAAGATGGCTAAGAGCGCTCACGATGACCTCAAGGGCCCTGAGATGGCTAACGGGTCTTCGGGGACCGTCTGGCTGAGGGCGATGGATTAGAGCGCACAAGATTACCTAAGATGGCTCGAAGAGGGCCCAAGAAAGCCCAATAATACTGCCTGCAAGATGGCTCGAGAAAGCCGAAGATAGCTCAAAATGGCTTCCAACATGCTCTAAGAGGCCCCAAAGACCGCCCGAAGACGCTTCCCGCTTCCAAGTGCTCTCGGGATCCTCCAATGATCTCTCCGAGAGGCCAACATCCTTCAAAAACCTAGAGAAGGCCACTGATGATTATTCTTCTCGCCTTCTCGCTCGCGATGGACGTGTGGAGCCTCCAGATGGCTCCAGGATGGCCCAAGAGGACCCCAAGGGAGCCCAAGAAGCCTCCAAGATGGCCCCAAGAGAGCCCAAGAGTCCCCAAGATGGCCCGAAAAGGCGATTTTATGGTCCCAGAGGGGGGGGACTCACGGACCTCTCCCTCCGTTGATCGATTGCCTCCAAGATGGCCCCAAGAGGGTCTCCGGGCCTCCCGGGAGGGCCCCACAAATGCTCCAGCATGGCCCGAAGAGACCCCCAAGGCACCCCAAAAGGCCCCACGAGGACCCCAAGATTCCCAAAAGAGCCCCAAGAGGGCTCGAACTGGCGATTTGACAGCTCCCGGACGGAGGCCGAAATCCAGCCCCCCCTCCTTTGAACGATGCTCTCCAAGATGGCTCCAAGATGGCTGTTTTCTTGCCACCGACACGCCCCCAAAAAGGCCTCAAGACCTAGCAAAATAGCCCCCCCGCCCGTCCCAACTTACTCATGTCCGTCCCAACTTCCACATGTCATTCCCAACTTCCCCATGGCCTTCCCAACTTCCTCACATCCGTCCAATCTCCTTCATGTTAGGTAAACCTTCCCCACGTCCACCCAACTGTTCCATGCGCTGTGCTGCTTCCCCATGGTCGCCAAACCTCCTCCGCGCGCTCGCCACTTCCCCACCGCCCGCGCAACCTGCTGCACCCCGCCGCGCGGCCCACCATCTTCGCCATCGCATACGATACTCCCCCATGACCTTCCACACCTCGTTTGCGTTTTGGGCCCGAACATGGCTTAATGGAAGGTGGGCGCCACCTTCCTGCGCAAGACCCACGGGGAAAATCACGCAAGTCGAAAGGCACTCACACGCCAGTACTATTCGCTGGAAGAGGGGCGACGGAGGGAGGAGGGGGGGGGGGGGGGGGCGAGCGCCATGCAAGAACACTTGCCTGCGCCTAGCCAAAAAAAAAAGCTCCTGGGCCCCGGGACGACTGGCAAGAGGGGGGGACCAAGGCGAGTCCGCTCCACCTCCGTCTTCGGACCCCTCCCCGGGGGGTCCGTCCCATAGATGAGATCTTCCGCCCCGCGGGGCCCGCTCTTCCGCCCCGCGGGGGGCCGAGAGCGGCCACCCCGGAGACCGAGCAAGAGGCAGGCGGGCCCGGGGCACCTCGAATACCTCGCCCCCCCTGGCCAGCGCTCGGACGTCCCTTCCCTGTGTTTTTTTTTCGATTTCGTGCGTGGTTTTTTCCCCCCAAAAGATCAAGGATGCTCCTCGATGGTCCTCGCCGAAGGAAACATGCTCACGTCCGAGGGATGCCAAGCCCCCTGCCTGCTGGCCAGAACTGGCGCTGGGCCACCCGACCCGAGGCCCGAAGAGAGGGCGCCATAAGCATGAACTTGCGGCGCTCCGCGCGGACTTCTGGGATCTGCGCTGGAGCCCCCCTCTCACTGGCGCGCGGAGCGCGCCAGGGGCGGCGCCGGAGGCGCTGCCCGCCGGAGGCGCTGCCCGGGGGGGGCCCAGCGCGGATCCAGGAAATCCGCGCGGAGCGCCAAAAGTGCATGCTCGTGGCGTTTTTCTTCTTCTTCTTCTTCTTCTTCTTCTTCTTCTTCTTCTTCTTCCTCGAAGCTCCCCGCGCTCTTCCCCCCCCCCGCCCGCGTCCTCCATCACCTCCCAGAAGGTCTGGTTGCGCTCCTCCAGCCCGCCGATGGACACGACGTCCGTCCCCTCGGAGGAGGCCGCGGCCCGAGGCAGGGCGGGGGAGCAGGAGGTCTCGCGACGCGGCAGGATCCAGGAGGGCGCCCCGGCCCGCAGACGTGGCGTCGTGCCCTCGGGGGCGCCCACGACGGGGGGGCGTCCAGGAGGGGCGCGCGCAAATCCTGGCCGGATGCGTGTGCGCCGACGAGGGGGAGGGGCCAGGGCGCGCAGGGAAAGAAGAATAATAATAAGAAAAAGAAGAAGAAGAATAATAATAATAAGAAGAAGAAGAAGAAGAAAAAGAAGAAGAAGAAGAAGAAGAAAAATAAGAAGAAGAAGAAGAAGAAGAAGAAAAAGAAACGAGGCCCACGACATCCGGGCTGGCGTCATGGCCCCGGCCATGACATCCGCACGACCCTGAGGTCCCTGGCCGTCACCCCCGCGGTGGATGCCCCCGAACCTTTGGGGCGCATGCCGTACTTCCCCCGCCTTCTGCCGGCCTTCCGCTGGCCTTCCGCCAGCGGAGGCGGCATCGCTATACTTCCGCCGCCCTTCGACCACTTTGTCGCTGGACCCCCTTTCGGGTCCACCCGAGCACTGCGCCCCGCCTGTCTGCGGCGCGCTCCGCGCGGGCCCGACCTGCCCAGAGCTCCGACGCTCCGACAAACCTGGGAGCGGGCGGTCTCTGTTAGGGGCCGCGTTCGGCCTCCCGGGGGCCCTCGCCGGGCCTCGGGTGCGTCAACAGGAAGGGCTCGGGGCGGACGTCGGGGGCCCACGCGTGGAAAAAATCAAGAAAAAAAAAAGAAGGCCAGATTGAAGGGGCCCAGGGACACACAAATCAATACCCACAAAGCCCAGGATTCCCCATACTTTTCTGATCTATCCCACCAGCCCTCTGGGCGTAGGTGGTTTTGGGAGTTTCCTCTTCCAACCTCCTTCTTCCCCTTCGGGGAAGGGTTTATCACTGCTCCCTATTAGTAGACACCCCCTGTCCCAGGCGACTGGGACCAACCCGAGTCAATGAGGGCACCCCCCCACCATCCCTTGTAAAAAAAAACCATACAAAACACAGTCTGCCTCCAAATTCAGAGCATGCGCAGCGAACCCGATGCGGCCTTCCCCCACCATCCCTGTCAAAAACCAATACAGAGTACACTTGGCGGCGGGGGCAGCGGCTGCGGCGGGGGCAGCGGGGGCAGCGGCTGCGGCGGGTGCGGCGGTGGCGTTGGCGGCGTTGGCGGCGGCAGGGGCGGCGGCGGCGGCGGCGGCGGCGGCAGCGGTGACGGCAGCGGCTGCGGCGGCAGCGGCTGCGGCGGCGGCGATTCGGCAGCGGGGGCGGCGGCGGCGGCGGCGGCGGCGGGCGGCGGCGGCGGCGGCGCGGCGGCGGCGGACGGCGGCGGCGGCGGCGGCGGCGGCGGCGGCAGGCGGCGGCGGCGGCGGAGGTGGCGGCGGCGGCGGCGGATTCGCCCCCAGTAGCTGCCCATCCAAAGACGACTGCTGAATATGCTGCGGCTCGGGCCAAGCCCGGGTGCTACGTATGTGTCGGGAGGGCGGGTGGGAGTGATCGAGACGGCTTGGGGGCGGGGAGGGCGTCTTGACCCCTCCACAATTACTCAATATTACCCTCCCTCTTCCCCTGATGACGGCCTGAAAGTGTCCGACCCCCCCCGCGCACTGTTTTTTGCACACAGGTTTCCCCGGAGTTGGGCTTTCGCTTGTTTTTTGTTCAAAATGCTGCTCTCGCTGAGGCGCCGGCCTCATGTTCGGGCCCCGCTCGTTCCGAATCGTGCTCCCGCTGCAGCGGTGGCCTCATTTCCGTGCTTCCGCTCGTTCCAAATCGTGTTCCCGCTGCAGCGCTGGCCTCATGTCCGCGCTTCCGCTCGTTTCGGCTCGTGTTCCCGCTGCAACGCTGGCGTCATTTCCCGTGCCATGCCACGGCATGCAATGCAATGCGAGGTTGATGCTACGCTTTGCGGTGCTCTTCTACGCCATGCCACGCCGTGCTCTACAATGCATCGCGTACCCTTTCGGGATCATTGCCCTGCTCGACATCCGACTGTGCGAGTAGAGAGGGGATCTGCGAAATGGTAAGGGATGGGAGGGAGGGGTAGGATGTCAGATATGACGCGAGCGCACCTAACTTGCCCTACCCCCTCCCCTGGACCTGGACGGGGGGTTCCGCGATGCGTTGGAGCGTCCAAAACGGCCTCGGCGAGGAAGCCACATGTATTGGTTTTACTTGGGTGTTGGCCCCATTCTGGCCTCCTGAAAGGGGGGGGGGGGGGCTAATTGAGCCCACCCCTCCTGTGATCGATCTCCTCCAAGATGGCCCCAAGAGGCGCCCAGGAGGCCCCAAGAGGCTCCGAGATGGCCCCAAGATGGCCCCATGTGGCCCCAAGAAGCCCCCAACAGGCCCCCAGGATGCCCCCAAGAGGTTCCCAAGAGACCCCCACGAGGCCCCAAGAGACCCCCCAGAGGCACCCAAGACGCTCCAAGGAGACCTCGGCGAGAATGCCAATGCCAAAATCATTGGTTTTACTCAGATGTTGGCCACCTTTGGGCCTCCTGAGGGGGGGGGGGGGGGGGGGGGCACTGCTTCAGATGACTCCACGAGCGCCTGGGAGATTCCAAGATGACCTCCAAGATGGCTCAAGCTATTCCAATATGCCTCAAGATGGCTCCCACGATGCTCCAAGAGGCCCAAAGACCGCTTCAAGACGGCTCAGTGGCCAAAGAGCTCCCCCAGGAGGCCTCGAAAAGGCCAACACCCTTCCCAAACCGAAGGGAAATCAATGTTTTGTGCTTTCTCGCCTTTTCGCTTCCGATGGCCACCCGAGGTTTCAAGATGACTCCAAGATGGCCCAAGAGGGCTCCAAGAGCGCTCCCAAGGCTCCCAAGAGCGCTTCAAGAGGGCCCCGAGAGGCGCCCAGGAGGCCCCAGGAGGCCCCAACAGGCGCCCCAGAGGCCTCCACCAGGCCCCCAAGAGACCCCCAAGAGGCCCCAAGAAGCTTTCCGAGGCACCCAAGACGCTCTAAGAGGCGTCCGGGACCGCCAAGCGGCCCCCACGACGCTCCAAGAGGCCTCCGCTGGGGGACCCTTCCTCTATGTGCTGCCCACTTCCCTGATCGAGGCACTTCCTCTGGGCATCGTTTCTGGATGGGCTAGTGGGGTGATTTTTTTTTTCGTCGCGGCCGCGAGACAGGGGTCAGGCGGCAAAAGCAAAGTCCGGGCAAGAACGAGGCTATTTAGCCACAAAAGGCACAGGCCACCGACCCGCTCACAAAGCAGCCGCGAAGCTGAAGGGGAGCTGACGGCAGGGGCAACCTGAAAAAAACTCGAGCACGTGCACAGACAAAATCTCATGGAATTCGGTGCCAGCCACAATATGAGACGTGACCCAGGATAACCAAGTCCGTCAATCTGAGTGGGGGCAAGTGGGAGGCCAGTGGAGTGAGTCGCCGGTGGGGCGCCAGGCTCCAGACCATGACGACGTGAGCAAGCCCGGGGCTGGTGGGGTTACTTTTTTGGTCCGCGGCTCCGAGGCGAGAGACAGGGAGCGAACACAACGTCCGGGGCGCGGTACGTCATTAATTGGCGCGAGATTGCCGCGGATTCCAGCGGACAACACTCGCAGCGGCACGTGCACATGCCAGGGACCATTGAGACGCATTTCAGCGTCTGCTGGTGACCGGCCCAGTCAGCCCGGCTGGTGGGGAAGCAACAGGCGCGGCAACGAGGAGGCAAAGGAACAGGGAGGCTGGTGGGGTTACGCGAAGCGTCTAGAATTAAACATGTGCTAAACATGTGTGAAACATGTTCTAAACATGGTTCAAGCATGCTTTTTTCCATATGTGTAAAACATGTTTGAAACATGTGTTAGACATCTGAAAATTATTTGGCAGCACGCTTCCTCTCCATTAACAGACTTCCACAACGCAAGAGCGACCCTGTCCGCAAGAGCGACCCTTGGCGCGCGTGGGGCTCCAAGGAGGAGGGCGCGGACGGGGGCCAGACCCGAGCGCGCATAGGCCACTGCTGTGTCGCACCGTTTCTTCGGCGATGCAGGGTCCCCATGTTTGCGGATGCCACGACAATGGCAGCGGAGGGACGAGCAGGACCTAGGCCTTTTCTTTGGGTGGAGGGCTCAGGGTGAAATCCAAATGGGCTTTTTTGCACCTCGAAGATCTGTGATTCGCCTCTTGCAGCTTCAAGCCTCGAGAATCAATCGAGACGGCATTTCAGATTTCACCCTTTGCCCTACACTTGTAGATGCCACGACAGTGGACACCCTAAGAGTCCTATCCTTGACTTAACAATGTGCCTAACACGTCTGAACAAAATGCTCTAACCATGTTTCAAACATGTGTTTTACATGCTTAAAGCATGTTTAACACATGTTTCAGACATCTGGAAATCATGTGGCAGCATGCTTCCTCTCCATTGATCGTCCCCCACAACCCTGCGCACAGGGCAGGAAATCCACCCTCAGAAGAATCGCCCCGACGCGCGAAACCGTCTGGCAAGCGCACCCGCAGAAGGCACCGAGCAGGGCAGGGCTCCCTAGTAGACGCCCAGGGCCGCTTCCGGTAAACGCCAGATGATCGGGTCGGGGTGGCCTTTATCCTCCCTGGCCCAAGTGGGCCCGCACCAGAAGGCCACCCTGGCGACAGGCCACTCTTGCCCGTCCTCGGCCTGCGCAGGAGCAGCGCGCCCGCAGCGCCCCGGCGTGGCAAGCGCGCCGGCGCCCCGCCCGGAACGCCCCGCCCCTCGCGCGGGTGCCAGGCTCTCCCGCGAAGCGGAAAAACCCACGGCGCTGCGCCGCGGCCGCGGGGCACGTCGGGCATCCTGCCGCCTCCCCGGCCTTCCCCAAACTGTGCTTGCGCTGGCGTTGGACGGCCCTCCGGCTTCGACACTCTTCGCTACGCGCCCTTCACCCGGGACTCGCTCGGGGCCCCCGCCGCCCCCGGCCCGCTGACGCAGCAGCCGCCGCGGGTTCTGCGGCGGGGCTGGCCGCGCCACACGCTCGGGGAACGATCTGACCCCTGAGGCGCCCGCCCCGTCCCTGCTTTCCTTCGGCCGCGTCCTCTCCTCGCTACTCCTCCTGCATGGTGGCACCACTCGCTCCAACGGCATCCCCGTCTAAGCCTCTCATCGCCAGCGCAGTCACCCTCTGCCTAGCCGCCGACGCGAGAAGTTTGCGCTGGCGGGTGATCGCCTGGCTTCTGCAGACGTCGGGCCGCACTGCGGACTCTCGGCTCGTGGCCGCCCGTGGCCGCCCCGGATGCCTCTCCGCTGCCGCCCCGTTCCCATCCCGTTGCCGTCTCGGTGCCGTCTCGCGGCATTGCTGCGCGGCGCTGTGCACTGAATTGCGTTGACTTGCAATGGTGTTAGCGCCGTGTGCAACTGCTCTACCATCATTACACTGCTTTGCATTGACTTGCTCTGCTCTGGATTGCACTGCACCGTTTGTACTGTCTTGTACTGCTTCGCACTGCATTGCAGTACATTGCATTGCTTGGCAGTGCATTGCGTAGCCGCACACTGCACACATTTGTATCGCTTTACAGTGCAATGCTTGTATGGCTTTGCATTGAATTGCATTGCGTTGTATTCCACTTACTCGCTTTGAGTTGAACTGCTTTGAACTGGACTGCACGTGTTTGCGCGACTTGCATTGTGCTATATGCCTTGCAGTACTTGCACTGCTTGGCATTGCGTTGCAATGTGTTGCCATGCTTTGTTTTGATCTGCGCTACTGTGCACTGCCTCTCACTGCTTGCATGGTGCTGCATGGCGCGCACTTAGGGGGCAACTCAGCTAGACAAGCGACAATCATGTGCTCGCGAAGGGGCTGCTCTTTGTTGTCTGGCCGCGCCCAGCAGCGACACGCAGCGACGACAACGAAGCTACCTGAGGGTACACATAAGAGCGTTCACACCACCTGGGCCCAGCAGCAAAATAGAATGAGGACGACGACGACGACAAAAAGGCAGCAGGAACAGGCCTCCGTCGAGTACGTATCGCCGCTCCCGTACGTCATTGTCGTCATGAGCATCTCGGACCTGCCCCGTTGAAGGGTGGGGCCGGGATTGCAGGGCAGCGAAAGCAAAAGGTAGGGTGCAGAAGGGGAGGGGCTGACGCATCCTTGCTTGTCAACTCTCGATTCCAGTGAGGACCACACCTTTTCAGTCCTGTCCTTCGTCGCCGGCGTCGTCGTCCTCGCCGGCACACTGCTCCGGGCGGAGGGCCTGTGAGTGCTGCTCACGTTGGGGTCGTACTTGGCCTCGGCAGGCCGCACGGGCCCTACAGCGGCGGCACCGGCCCGGGCGCGCCACGGGGCGTCCGTCGGGCCGACAGGGAGGGGCGGGGAGGGGGGGCGAGAGGGGAGGGGGAGAGGCAAGCTAGGTGCGCTCGCGTCATATCTGACACCCTACCCCTCCCTCCCATCCCTTACCATGGCGTAGATCCCCTCTCTCCTCGCACAGTCGGATGTCGAGCAGGGCAATGATCCCGAAAGGGCACGCGATGCATTGTAGAGCACGGCATGGCATGGCGTAGAAGAGCACCGCAAAGCGTAGTATCAACCTAACATTGCATAGCATGCCGTGGCATGGCACGGGAAACGACGCCAGCGCTGCAGCGGGAGCACGAGTCGGAACGAACGGAAGCGCGGAAATGAGGCCAGCGCTGCAGCGGGAGCACGATTCGGAACGAGCGGAAGCACGGAAATGAGACCAGCGCTGCAGCGGGAGCACGATTCGGAACGAGCGGGGCCCGAAAATGAGGCCGGCGCCTCAGCGAGAGCAGCATTTTGGAAACAAATGCAGGCGAAAACCCAACTCCGTGGAAACCTGTGTAAAAAAACAGTACGCGGGGGGGGGGGCTAATACTTTCAAACCGTCATCAGGGGAAGAGGGAAAGTAGTATTCATACTGAGTAATTGTGAAGGGGGAGAGGGGAGAAGGGAAGGGGGGAGGGGAGCGGGGAGGGGCCAGCTAGGTGCGCTCGCGCCTCATCTGACATCCTATCCCTTCCTCCTGATGGCGGTAATGCTTCTCTATCCGCGGAGCGGGTGCAATAGCGGACCTGCGACTCACACAGAAAGAACACTTCGTGTTATGGGCAATCGGAAAAAGGGGAGCTGCCTGCACAGGAGAATGAGGTGGCGGGTGAGCAGGAGGATGAGCGGGAGGAAAAAGATGAGGACGAACAACACCAGCAGGAACTAAAGCGGAAGAATCGGGAGGGAAAGGAAGATCACGGGAAGGCGGAGGCGGAGGAGGGGAAATGCGAGGGGCGATAACGATGATGAAAGACTCGGGTTCATAAAAAGGGCCCGCGCGGGGGCGAGACGATGAGCAACAGAAACTACTGTAGAGTGGAAGGAGCGGGAGGAACAGGAGGACCACCCAAGATCTCGCGCACACACACAAAAGAAAAAAAACACGCGTCCGAGGCCACGATGCCTAGCCAAAACAATGGACCCGCCACGATCCCTCGTAGAGAAACGACAGATCCGCGCCGCCCAGCCTCTCGACCAGCCGGCGGACCTGCGCACCAGCCCATCGACCAACCACTCTCGCCATCGCTCGGACGTCCATTCCGTGTGTTTTTTCGGTTTCGTGCGTGGTTGTTTCGCCAAATGATCAAGGATGCTCCTCGATTGTCCTCGCCGAAGGAAAGATGCACACGTCCGAGCGATGCCAAGCACCCGGCCAACCGTCCATCCAGACAGCCAACCAGCCAGCCGAGAAGCCAGCCTGCCAACCAATCAGCCAATCAACGAGCCAGACCACTCGACCCAGCCACGCAGCCATACGCAGCCTGCGCATCGGAGGGGGGGGGGCGCAGTGGCAAAGGGCGAAACCCTTCAGATCAGATGTTGGGAGGTGGCCTCAATGCTTCCCCCTCATCCCATTCGATCCAATTCCCCACCCCATCCTCTTTGTCCTCGACTTGTTCCTCATGCTCCTCCTCCTCCTCCTCCTCCTCCTCCTCATTCTCCTCCTCCTGCTCATTGTCCTCCTCCTGCTCCTTCTCCTCCTCCTCCTCCCCCTCCTGCTCATCCTTCTCCTCCTCCTCTTCCTCATCTTCCTCCCCATCCTCATCCACCTCATGTTCCTCCTCCCTCCTGGAGGAGGGACCAAGGGGAGGGAGGCAGAATGGAACATGGCATGGGAGCGATGGATGGGGGGAGGGGGGAATTGGGCTAGAGAGAAGGGCAGAGACCGAGGGAAGCAGTGACGGGACCGGAGCGAGTGCGATCCACGGTAGCGCCCCTCGAGCCCGAGGACAAAACAAAAAAACAGCTCGACACTGTTCCAACATGCAACGGGGCCGTCGATGCGTCCATGCACCAACACCAGGAGGGCGACGAGGACGCGCCGTAGTGGCACCTCCTTCTCGACAGGAGGGCTGGCGCAGGAAGGGTCGAGGTGGGAGGGGGAAGAGAGGGGAGAGCTGGAGCACTGCCTGGAGGGAAAGAGAAGAAATACGAAGCCCTTGGAATCCACATCGGTCATCACAAGGAGCCACCTTACCTGGGATTTTGCGAGTGGTCAGCTTCGGAACTCAAGAATGTGCAAACTGCCATCTGCCACACGCACTCCTCAGGTGCTCAGGCAAGGCACTGGCATGTCGACACCTCCGAAGCGACAAGGAAGGAGGAAGACGACGACGAGGACGAGGCGGAGGAAAAGGACAGGGTTAACCAGGTGCTTGTCGGCAGCGAGCCTGGGGGAAGGGGAAGTGAGAAGGGGCCGGCCTTTTGAGAAAGCTCGGAAGGCCTCGGGCCTTCTGAGAAATGTTCGAAGCCTTGCCCCAAGACGCAACCAACTTCTCAGAAGGCCAGAAGGCTTCTGAGAAGCCCCGCCGCCTTCTGAGAAGGCTTGCTCCTTCCTTCTCACTCCCCCCCTCGCTCGCCGCCGATTTCGGTGGCTCTATCGCGGCTCTGAAGGGACGAACGGAGGAGAGGTATTGAACGGATGGATAGGGAAGAGGAAAAGGGGGACACTGGAGGGAGAGTGCGGAGCAGGGAAAGGACGAGGGCTGGAGGGAAGAGATGAGTAAGCTAGCATTCCGTCGGGCCTGTCCTCCTACAGGCGGATTCTGGAAGGAAGAAAACGAAAACAGTCAGAACATACTGATACAAATTCAAAAGCAATCGTCGAAACGTCGTCCCCAGACTGTTTTCCGACGATTCTTGAATTTTCCTCCTGTTGCGGGGCATGCTCGCCTCAAAGCGAGCAGAAGGGGGAGCGGGAGACAGGGCGCGCCGAGATTAAGAGGGTGGAGGGAGGGCAGCAGGCGGGAGGGGGAAGAGAAATGATCAGTGATCTCGGGAGGGCGAGGGAGAGAGAGGTGGCTGGGCGGACAGAGGGAGGGTCGGGGAGGGAAAAGGCGAACGGGGGGACGTACGCATACACACTTTCCGCTAAACAGATAGAAAAGGGCAATAACAAGCAGAAAAAAACATGTAGTTCACGGAAGCGAGAGAAAGGGGGAGGGAGAGAAAGAGAGAGAGAGAGAGAGAACACTAAACAAACAAACAGAAAGAGAGAGCGAGGGGAGGGGAGGGAGGGGAGGGGAGGGGAAGAGAAGCAAGGGAGAGAGAGGGGGGAGGGGAGGGTGCGGGGGGGGGGGAGGGGGAAAGGGGGAGGGGAGGGCAGGGGAGGAGGGAGGGAGGGAAAGATAGAGAGAGAGAGAGAGAGAGAGAGAGAAACGAAAAGAGAGAGAGAGAGAGAGAGAGAGAACGAACAGAGAGAGAGAGAGAGAGAGCGAGAGAGAGAGAGAGAGAGAGCGAGAGAGAGGGCTGGGCATAGCCTGTCCCGCCGACGGGGGGTGGGTGTATAGCAGCGCCCCGCTCGCCCGCGCCCCTCCGCGCCAGCGGGGGCGGCGCGGGGAGGAGCCGGGAGCGCCCGCGGCGCCCTGGGCGTGCGAGAGGCCCCACCGGGGGGGGAGCGTCAGGTCGGGCCTGTCCCCCTGCAGGGGGGATGTTCGACGAAAAACAAACAAATCCCCTCGAAGCATAAACCAAACAGAGTCCAAACATGGTATGGGGACTGTCTTTTGGAATCTGTTTTGGCCTTTTGGGGGGCATTTTTGGAGTATGTTGTGTTTTTCGTCGAAAATCCCCCTGTAGGTTGTGTTTCGTCGAAAATCCCTCCTGTAGGGGGGTCAGGCCCGACTTAAGGGGCGCGCAGGAGCGCACCGACCGAGACGCCCAGGGGACGCGGCAGGCAGCCGGCGCGCAGCGAAACCTCTGCGCCGAGCGCCCTCTCTCTCTCGCGGGGGGGAGGGGGGGGGGGCGCGGGCGCCCACGTGCAGGGGCGAGCGGCGAGGACCAGCTCTCCTGGGGCAGGGTAGGCCCAGCCCTCCTCCCTCCTCCCTCCCTCCCTCCTCCCTCCTCCCTCCCTTCCTCCTCCCTCCCTCCCTCCCTCCCTCTCCTCCTTCTCATCCTCCTCCACCTCCTCCTCCTCCTCCTTTTCCTCCTCCTCCTCCTCTTCCTTTTTCTTCTCCTCCTCCTCCTCCTCCTCCTCCTCTTCCTCCTCCTCGTCCTCCAGGGAGGAAGCCAGACGCCAATCTCAAGGAGTCAACACCTCTCAAGCCCTGGCGCATTACTACACGTACGTCTACCTCTACCCGGGTTACATCTACGTCACCGCGGCAGTGAAGGGCGGCTTCGTCCGAACCACCTATTGGCACCACATCACTGTCGTCTACCTCGCCGCAACTGGGGAGTGCTGGAAGGACAAGGTCAAGGCGAGCTGGGTCACCGTGCTGGACAGCTTCATGGTACATTCCAACAACGAGATGTTGACCGATACAAACCATTTGATGGACCGACCTGATAACTGCCCGCACTACCGCACCGCCACAAAATATCGCACAGAAGAAGACGCCGCGAACGACCGCGACCCCAAGAAGATACCCGTAAACAACCTGGAGTGGCACGACATCCAAAAGCTGGCAAGCACAGAACCACCCCTACTACAAGCACCACCGTGGAAGAACGAGGACGAAGATCCCCACACGAACCTCCAGACACTACACATAAATAAGGGCATGGGAAACCGCCACAACTTCGAAGAGATAGAGCGCAAAGTCATCCATAGCAACATCGAGAGATATAGCCCGAAGGCATACATCGTAGCGATCATCGACATCTGCGGCACAGTGCACTCTACCTCCGAGATTGGAATACTAGCCGCGTGTGCAAGAAACATCGTGGAAACCCGCGGAGGAAATGCACTACATCCATATACGGACAACTACATCCTCCCT